ATGATTTTGTAACTTATTTAGAAGGTGAAATTACTTTCATGATGGAAGATAATTCTAAAAAACGTGCGACTTTACTGAATAAAGAAAAATAATATCATACTCAGTATAACATTTAAAACACATTAACCTTCGATATAATAACTTCCGGACCGGTCTTGTTATATAGAACAGAACAGAACAGAATAGAAGCTGTAATTATACAGAACATGTATGAGACTACAATCTTATCGTTTTTGAAAAAGAAAAGATGAATTGTTAAAACGAGAATAAGATAAACACAAATGTAACAATAATAGAATGAGTGAATATTATATCAGACCATTTACATTTGAAAGTTTGAATAAAAATGGTAAGCTGTAGTGAATAAAACTAGTAAACATCCATACCATTAAGCAAGAAAAAGGAAAAAAAAGTTTCCTTTTTTACGGATTCAAAGAAATTGACAAAACGTTTTCGAGAAAAGACAAGAAATACCTGTATTCTTTATACAGTAAGTATTATCATACAAGAGCTTACTACATGGATACCCAGGCAAAGGGAATTGGCATAAGTAACAGTCAAACCTGTGATCAAAGTTCATCCGAAGGAGACACCAGTTACGGCCGTTACAAACAAGTGGTCTTTATTTTCAGGTTAATCTGTTCAATATTTTATCAATGAAAGGTTGTTGATGAATTGCCTTTTTATACAGAGTGGTGTTAAACACGGGTTTTACTGTATATCAATAGATACAACAACAAAACAAAATAAACTGTACATCGTAAAGACGATATGTTTTGCAATTATGTAGTAAACAATATAACTCTTCTTTATATGGAAGCAATAAGTAATTCAGACGTTCATCCGGCACATTTATCATTGTATTGTGCGAGTCCCACTTCAGAGTTAAAGGAACTCCACTGAGGTTAAAAAAACTAAGAAATACAATTTGAATTTCTTACATAGATCGGTTGAGGCATTACACACAGGAAGATACGTAAAAAGTATTGAAAAATATATTTAAAAAACAAATTGAAAATCGTATTTTTGTGCTATTTAAGCCAAATTTAAATAAAAAGGCGTTGCAATGCTTTTTCAATTTTGGGTCATTCACACAATTAGTATATTCATTCTGGAACAACGGAGTACGCTAATGATTTGAACATTAGTACACAAGTTATTTGTCTAGTCTTGCATCAAATGGACCATTAATCTCGAAAAAAAAATACAGTTCCTTCATGTCAAAAAACTTCAGTGGAGTCCCTTTAAAGTTCCTAGATTTACAGTATTATGAGAGTATACAATGAAGTTAACGTGATAAGCTCAACTCCAAAAGAAAAAGTCCCACGGTTTCAAAACTCTCCACAAAGAAATTAAATTCACCGAGAAAATCGGGTCATCAGACATTTAGATTTAGTTGCTCGTGAAATTCAAAACATATAAAGTTTTTCACAGTGTTGTGATTTAATGACATTTTTATTAAGCCGGGTAACAGAAATCTAAGATTTGATACCAGCTCCGCCGTCGTCTGATTGGCTGTAACCAGGCGGCAAATCTGTAAGTATAAGAGAAGACAGAACTATGAAAAAGTGAATAAACAAAATAATAAAAAATATAAATCATTTTATATAAGAAATGATTTTAATTTGTACATATTTCATAGTTTTATTTCATACCATAAGGATATTTATAATAGCCCCATAATTGTAATTTAAGAATGAGATATGAATTTGACATTTATCCACTGGTTTCAAGTCTTTATATTGTAAAGGAGTTATAACCAGCCATGTGTTGTCAACAATATTTGGGACAGGTTACTTCCCTTGACACTACGGGCGTCTGTTGCGTTGAATTTTTTAAACGCTTTCGTTTCTCTGCATGTTGGGTTTATAGGCCTTATATTCTCTCCTAAAGCATGCATGTACATTATAACAAATTTATTATAACACAAATTTATATAAAGGATGATTTAGACATTTTCCTTAAAGGAAGTCGGTTTAGGTCTAAAATCATTTTTTTAAATCTTACATAGATCAGCATGGGCACTTAAAACAGAAAGATATGCAAAAGATAAATATGAACTATACTCAAAAATACATTGCAAATTGTATTTTTGTGCTATTTTCAGTCCGATTTTAAGTCATTTTTTCACAATAAGAATAATTATCCTAGAAAAAAACAGAGTGTCCTTCATCAAATGAAACAATAACATCGGAAAATTATTTCCAGTTTCGTCGTGTTAAAAAATCTCAGTTGTGTCCCTTTAAGACCAGTATTTTTTGTCAGTAATACTTTCTTATGTACGAAAGCATTAAACGATAGCCAGAAGTATAAATAAAAAAAAAAAAAAAAAAAAAAAAAACAGTTTGTATTGAAAACCTTTTTAACTTTTGTTTAAATACTCTTTCTTCTTCTGTTTTTGTTAATATAATTCATTCATATGTAATGCATAATATTATATACATAGTTCTGGTAGGATACTCTCGACCTACATATATCTATTGTACAGAAGAAAAAATAGCATGAAACCTTATTTTTTTCCCTGTAACTTGATGAATATTTTGGAGATAAAGCGCACGATATTCGGAATTTTAAGCTTTATCAGATGATGTTAGGTTATAGCCTTATTTAATGCTTATGTAGATTTCTTTTCTGAAAACGAGATTTAGTTCGGGTAATTTCAAGTAAACACACGTTACCAAAATCTTACATTTTCAGTCATTTAGTGCAAATCAAAAGGTAACTCCGGTCATAAGGCATGTAATTTAATTTATTTGGAATTCAATGTTTTTATGTTTTTAAAGTAAACCCTATTAATTATATCAAAGCGCTGAAGGCACGTCTTAAATTAAGCCTAAAGGAAGCAAATTTTGTAGGTAAATAAAGTAACTTGTAAAAGCCGCCATATATAATTTGTGTCTTGAACCTCTATCTCTGCAATCATAAAATTAAATCGTTTATTTAACGAGTTACAAGGCGTAAAACGCTTTTGTCCTCACAATTTAGAAGGAACAATGGCTACGTCATTTGTTACTTAATTTCCTGTCATGTTGCAAAATAATTGATTTTTTTGCGACAATTTTTATTCTTTAATTGCTTATGCTTTCTTCCAGTATCCCTACCTATTAAACCGCTAGATAAAACAATGATATAATGACTGAAAGTGCTCATTAAACCGCTAGATAAAACAATGATATAATGACTGAAAGTGCTCATTAAACCGCTAGATAAAACAATGATATAATGACTGAAAGTGCTCATTAAACCGCTAGATAAAACAATGATATAATGACTGAAAGTGCTCATTAAACCGCTAGATAAAACAATGATATAATGACTGAAAGTGCTCATTAAACCGCTAGATAAAACAATGATATAATGACTGAAAGTGCTCATTAAACCGCTAGATAAAACAATGATATAATGACTGAAAGTGCTCATTAAACCGCTAGATAAAACAATGATATAATGACTGAAAGTGCTTATTAAACCGCTAGATAAAACAATGATATAATGACTGAAAGTGCTCATTAAACCGCTAGATAAAACAATGATATAATGACTGAAAGTGCTCATTAAACCGCTAGATAAAACAATGATATAATGACTGAAAGTGCTTATTAAACCGCTAGATAAAACAATGATATAATGACTGAAAGTGCTCATTAAACTGCTAGATAAAACAATGATATAATGACTGAAAGTGCTTATTAAACCGCTAGATAAAACAATGATATAATGACTGAAAGTGCTCATTAAACCGCTAGATAAAACAATGATATAATGACTGAAAGTGCTCATTAAACCGCTAGATAAAACAATGATATAATGACTGAAAGTGCTCATTAAACCGCTAGATAAAACAATGATATAATGACTGAAAGTGCTCATTAAACCGCTAGATAAAACCATGATATAATGACTGAAAGTGAGACTTGAGATAGAATAAGAGACCGGTATATTTGCTTTTTGTCTCCTGCATTTGTGGTTCCCCCCAATTTTCTTTCCATAAATTTGTTTCAATAATGTTTCTGTTTAATCATTTTAAATTTAAGAAAATTGTGTCACCTGTTATGGTATAATTTGCGATCATAATACTTTAGATAAGCCTGTCACATTAAGTTCTTTTGGCGCATTGGTCTAGTCTGTAATGCTTATAATACCATTTTCTTTCGAATAACTTCAACTTTTATATTAAATCATCAATTTCCAAAAGAAGTTTCTAATGGGACCTTAAACATTGTTTTATACATACATTATGTCCAGAAAATTTGCTCTTATTATTTGGAACTGTGAGATTTTTGGCATCGACACCATAACGGGTCTTGAAACTTCCGAAAATTTGAAAAAAATCTTCAAAAGCATTTGAAATTATGACGGTAACATCATCTGATAAAGCTAAAAATTCTGGGTACCTTGCGCTATATTTCCAAAGTATTCAGCAAAAAATAAAAAAAAAAACACTTGAATCGGATAAAATTCCTGTAATGTGTGTGACTACGACACCCAAAAAGTCACGTGGGTTGGTCGCATTGATTGACCTCAATAACTCTTCTACGAGGTTCCTCCACGCGCACCTTGTTATTTCTGCTTTTCCGGTGATCATGGTTCATTCTTCTTCGTAGTATTATCCATTTTTATATTCAATGGTATAAAACTTTATTATCAAAAGTGAAATAATATGTTGTTTATGGGCTCGTTAGGTCAAAGTTCAGTATGTTAATCATACAAACTGTAATAGCAAATGGGATCTGTAGAAAATCCATTCTTATTTTGATATTAAGTAGTGCAAAGGTCAAATGTCATGGTCATGTCAAGAGAACATTGTTTCCGAAACACATAGGCCTTCATATTCCAGACGCAATCAAGGTCGGTATAAAATAAGAAGATAACCTTTACATTCGTAGAGCTTGTATTTTAATAAATTGTTAAATTTGATATATGAATTAACCATATACATAGTATATATCTAAATTTCTAAATAATTTACCTATAGAAAAAAAAAACAATAAATACAACAATTCTCTGATTAGAGCTAATTTCTGTTTTCTGACACATTTATTTACTTCTTTAACAATTATGCTTCACATTGTATAGTTATGTAATGTCATATAAAAGATAAAGAAAAAATGCATTTGGTAATAAAAATAACACAACATCTCGACAATAAATAAAAAAAAATAAATGCAATACACTGTACAACATTTCGAATCACAGTTGGCTTTGTGCGACAACAGATTAAAGAGTGATAATTTACAAAAAAAGTTAAAAAAAAATCAGAAAAAAATCGAAAATTCGTAAATGTCGAATTTTATAAGCTTCAGCGTCACATAGAGCTTCTAAAAATAGAAATCTCATCTGTATCACCTGAGCGATTGTCAAGTTTAAAAAAAGTTATTTTTGGAGACTTAGACCAAGTATAGTCTGTATCACCGAGAAAATTGTCAGTTTTTGAACTAATGAAACGGGCTATATTTAACGAAAATCGTCTTCGGTTTCAACATGTGCGAGTGTTAAAACAGCAATTCAGTGACTGTAATCAACTTTAACTTACAAAAACATTTTGGAAGCTATGTCTATATATTATCAGTTAAAAATTTCACTAAACATTATCTAAAGTGTTCTGCAGATCACCGACATTTTGTAAATTTCAAGTATTTCTGATAAACTAATTAATTATAGATAGGTTAAAAATGTTATTGTACACATTCAGTAGACAAAAAAGAAACCATTTGAATTAGATGTCAAACACATGCAATTATAAAAGCTTATAATCTCTGTTTTAGAACGTATATCTCGTGTAAGATGTTTTATTGGTCTAAAGTCTCTCCATTTCAACTGGATTAAGTGCCCGACACTTGAATTGGGGCCACGTATGTTTCTGATTTGTCCTCCTCTGGTGCGGGTTCTTTGGCTGGTTCTACGGCGTCAGCAGGGGGTCCAGCTTTCTCATTAGGCTGATAAGGCGGTGCTTGTTGCCCTGGGGTATAAGGTGGGGGCATTGGCTGCCCGTATCCCGACGCTCCGGCAATCTGCATAGCTGAAAGCGCACGCAAACAGTTTTAATTAAACACTGCAAGTATCTTTAAACATTTATTTGTTACATTGCAAAATAAGGTATTTTTTACATGCGAACATTTTCAGTTTGTTTTTCCTCATCACGAGCCATAATCCCTCTTATCCAATGTTTGAGATAAATGATAGGTAAATATACAAAAAAGCAACGATGCAAAACTTTTTCATTTAAACTTCAGTTATTTCGTTGATGTTTTGCGCCAAAAAATGCTTGAAGCTGCACGCCTCCAGATGAGCCAAAATATTTCAAGAAAATCAATATTGAGAAAAATGTATTAAAATTTTAAAAAAGGTAAAAACATTCAAAAGTTATCCAAGTTATATTTAACAAGTTATGCGGTTTAAGACTGATTTTGTCGTATTTTATTACCATATTTCGACTGCATTACTAACGCAATAAAAGCTGTTTTTGCATATGTTGACCACTTTTTGGTAATCGTTTTGGATTGTAAGTGCCGATTGCAATATGTAAATTACTATTTTTGTTCTCCTGACAATATTTTACTTTCAAATATATTTCTAAAATTTTCATGAAAATTAACATGAATAACATGAATCTGGAGGCGTGTTCCTTTGATTTGATCAATTTCATATTTGACAATGCTTAATTTCTCCTTTTTTGAAAACAAATCAATTTGATGGAGAGAAGGTAATGCGCATGCGCTCTTGATATACAAATGGCTGTCCTAACCGACTTTAGTTTTTATCTCAGAAGTATAATATACTCGCAGAACTAGTTGGATTTGTGAAAATATGGTTTGAATTGAGTCACTTTTTTCATAACAGACATTTTCGAAGAGTATAACAAGATGTTTTTTTATTAATCGAAAATGTTCTTTGATGATTATAACAATATTCGAATAGCCAATCAACTGAAATTATGTCCAAAGAAAAGATAACTTGCACTGTTCAAGAATTATATTATACAAACATATTAGTTATCAAGCATTTTATGAAACAGAACTGACACATAAGGTTAGCAAACTATATCCGAAAATCTGTTACTAAGAAAATAATTAAATTCAGTAACTTATACCCAAAATGAATGAATACATTCTTAATTTTAAAATGTACAAAATATGCCCGGGAGATGTATTCTTATCATCAAGTTCTTATAAGAAATGAGTTTATGGTTTATTCGGATAGTCATATGATTAGTTCGATCAAATACCATTTTGTCACCTTAGTGCAGTAACCGGTTAACTCCTATTAAATTGTAAAGGGAGTTAAACTATTACTGCACTAAGATGACGATTTAGTGTTTGGAATTATTTTTTATAGGAAGTTGAATTAATAGTTAGCCGATTTAGCAAAGTAAATGTGTTGTGATTCATTTGAAATAACAATCCAATTAGACATTGTTTTTTCAAACACTAAAATAACAAGAAAACTTTAATTGAGAATAACTTATTTGATGTTTTAAATGATGTAGTGAATTATCTATGACACAAAGAGAGGGTTAATTTTAAATCAAGCAAGTATAAGAAATTAAATTACACATCATGCTAAATTACTTCACAAAAAAACCCCAAAGTATTCAAGCGTAAGCGAAACAGTAACATGTGAAAAAATTTCATAACATAATAAATGTACTTACTTCCGGGATTCACAACAGCTACGTGAACCTGACCCCCCGGGGCCATAGAGGGGACGGTAACAGCAGTGATTTGCCCAGGCTGCATGGTTTTACATTCTGCAAAATGGAAATTTTTGTTACAATACAAAGATGCAACGCAAATAAGCTTTAGACAATATCATCGGTAAAAATTTTAAAGTATGCTCTTTAAATATTAAAATAATATAACATAGTACATTTCTATATCTAAAATACACAAATAAGGAACCCTTGAAACATTGAGTTGACATTAACTGCAACGTGTATGCTCCAGGATTAGTACATATCTGAATTTGTACATTTGTTCTTTTATGATAAATGATATTCAATATACATTTACGCTTAACATACTAGAAATATTTCACGTTTGTACTCATCGAATGCTTAAATAACATTCAATGGTACATTTGAACTCGTATTAGAATTACATTAAATAGAACTTGTGTGTGCTTTACTTGTCAAATTACTTTCAATAGAGTGTGATTTCTCCTAAAATACAAAAAACTAAAATTCTAGTATTAATTAATCATAGTTTAGTTTAAACACATTTATTTGAGCTCGATTGCCAAACAAGTTCTTGCAACTTATATTAATCGCTTTCGAGTCCGCTTCATGGAACTAACCAGGATTTGATTAATAATAATGATCGTGACCTAAGTAGGTCTCGAACGCATTTTTCCTGGGCTTAGAGGCCGACACCTTTACCACTAGGCCATCGATTCCCATAGCAGAATACATTTTCGATAGTAAAGGAAATAATGTTCATTTACCTGAGCCTCGATAGATCATGGTTATCTGAGCGTTTTCACACACGGAACCAATCATCGCATATACTGGGAATTTATTTCGAGGAATATTTATAGGTGCGCCCCAGTAGGCGTGATCTGTGCCAAATCCTAAAGTGCCACCGTCACAATCAACGTACATGTAGAATCTGTAATAATGATCAGTTAATAGTTTAATAAATTATCAATAGCTTTGTAGTATCCATTGATTCTTGCAATACCATGTAGTTACAATGCGGTTAGTATAATGGAAAATGTCTTTTGCTTTTAACGCATTTGCTGTGTTTACAAATTAACATGAAATTTCACAAGGTGTGAAAAAGAACTTAAAGCACAACTAACAAACTGTATTATGTATGGGGGACTTTAGTACTTGCATAGTAAATTGTGCATTTATTGCTCCATTGTATAATTCGATCTTTTTGTAATAAATTTTGTCTATCACGAGTGACCTCTTGATTGAAATATTACAATGTGTTGTATTAACTTTGTACCTGTTTTTGAAGTTTTGATCGAAAAAATTTTTCCGGACGTAACAGCATCACATAACTATCTTTTATATAAAAATCTATTAGCTAAGATGTTTATTTATCATCATCGGTGTCTTTCGTAGAATTTTTGTATAACAAAGAATTTATTTATAAAACCAATAAATTGATAAATAGAGGTTTTAGTATCTTATTAGCTGTTGCTTTTTTTTCCTCAATAACTTTTTTTGTAATAATTGTTATAGATAATTACTATTTTTCTTTCGAAAGGCATATGAAAATAAGATGTATTTTAGCATTTATTTAAACTTTTACATTTAAACGATACCTTCTTGTCACTAAGTATTTATTATTATTACTACTACTACTATTATTATTATTATTATTATTATTAATTTATTATTATTATTATACTAAGCAAACATACTTATCTGGAACAACTCCGCCTCTTGGCATGGTGCCAAGCATTTCACCCTTGTGCAATAGGCGTTTCCTGGCAATGTCTAAACCCCACGAGAAACTATTGCAGCCGACCAGGGAGTCTTTTGGTTTGACAAACAATGGAGCATCATCGCTACCGACGCCGACGGTAGCACTTGTTCCTCGGAGGCGACTAGGCCAATATATTTCGAACACGTGTTTACCCTTTGATAGTGCTGAAAAGGAGATAAGGGATTTGAAATAATGATATATCAAGAGTTGCAGTGAAATTAAACTTAAAATACGACTACAGCTTTTGCAAGTTTCCTCTGCTTTTTTCCGCTTCATTTTTTACCGATTGAGACCAAAAGAGCCCCTTTAGTGCTGTAGTTTTGCTACGTACATACATAGTGTTGACCTAGATAGAGTTTGTTGATAGTCTTAGTTTCAGATACCAATGATTAAGATCATCGTGAACACACAACAACTCATAATTTGAGCGAAAACCTTATCCTTGCGATAAGATTTTACTAAATATATTTAGAAAAGGGTCTGGTTGAAATCATATTTTTTATAATAAGACAAATATAAAAATAACTGCATTTAATAAATAGACGAAATGTCAATAAATATCACATTGTATACCACGTGACACTTACGTGCACCCCATTTAGCTCCGTCAGTTTCAAATGCGCCTCTCCTGTGTCTGTGGACACAATTGTGGTTAATTGCGTTAATTCCGTCCGAGGTTCCGGTAAATCCGACATCTAAAGCCGGATCCGGGACAATAGACATTACCCAGTTAGGGATAGGATTCCCTAAATAAAAAAGAAGAGAATAAACAATTGATAAGTAATGAAAAAATATGAGAATACATAACATTAAACAAATTAAATATTCTAAAATAATACGGCAAATGGTGTGGTAGAAATACTAGTTTATAGCTTATTAGACGAAAAGTACTAACTAAATTTCTTTGAAATAACATTAAATATTGATTGTCACACAAATGATGTTACTGTCAAGATACGTTGTGATTGAAATAATAAAATTGGCATCGACAGAGCTAAACAGGAATAAAATAGATAACTACATTCATATCAAACGAATTAAAAAGTGATTGTCGTAAAAGAGCACTAATAATTTCATACGGTATAAGAAATGTGTCCGCATATACAAGCAATATTAGTGTTAAAAATGTTTCTTCAGCACTGCAATACAAAAGCAACAAAATACAAAAGCGCTATAGATATTCACAACCCTTCATAATTATCCTTAACGGACGAAAATTCTTACTGGCGGAGAACGCATATGGTTTTCCGTTTTTTCGTTTTTAGTCAAGTAATTATCTAGAATATGCCCAAAGTATTGCTTATTTACTGTCCCAAAAACTTTTTTTCAAGCCCCAAAATGCGAGCTGTAAAAGGCACTGTGAATATCAGAGTTTCCGTTTTGGATACATTCAAAGCTTTAACAATGCTATATAGATATACAGTAAAACTTGTGTATATAAAGACGCACATACATCGAAAATTTAATAAAAAGTTTTGTTTGTGGTCTGTTGCAGATGTTGATTGGTCAGCATGCCATATATTACTTTACATGTAATTGTTCAAATAGGGAAACAAAAAAATGTTTCACTCTTTGACAAGATTTCTGAAAGTGTTTCTTTATTCGAATGTGATTTGAAACACAAGTTTCACTGTATTCTTTTATGAAATATACATGCGCAGAGCACAATTGATACACTGTTATTTACACATTTAAGACTTGTTTCAAAAAAAGCAGACGACAGAAAATTAAGTTATACCAGGAGCTACACCGCCATCTGCACAAAGCGCCAAAAGTGCAATCAAACTTAAAACCAGGAGAACACTTCCTATCGTCTGGTAATTGGTAGACGAGCTTTCGGTGGCGCCATCTTCTATTGCGGCGCTAAAATACAGACGACACTATTTTGTGACAACAGTGTGGTATACAAATGTCTAGAAAGAGGATGCAAATTTTTAGTTTTGTTGGGGAATAATACATTTTAGTTACAAAAGTTTATAGTTTCAAATGTCACATTTTTAACGCCTAAGATTTTCACCACAGACATTTTTCCAATACTTTCTAATCAAATCGGGTACATTTCAAACATTTGTTTTCCGTTGATGCAAACAACGTCATGTTATTTTTCCTCAAGCATGTTGAAATAGGCTTTCAAATTATATTACATTCATATATATGATTAAACAATGCATACCGGTACTATATATGTATATGAAGGTTTTTTAGTAATCATCGAGTGTCTCATAAAATTCATTTGCAGCCACTTTATTATTCTGTTAATCTATATGCAGTGTACATAATGCTCTATAAAAATTATGTTAGACAGAACGAAAGAAGCATGAGTTTCCTCAAACATAAAAATCAAACATTAAAATAAAAACTGGCCTCAAATGCAGGAAATTGACGGTACAATAACTAAATCGTAATTAAGATCAAGTGATTAACTCAAATTTTAGTGAAAGAGTGGGAAAAAAATCATGAACATTTCTATTGCTCAGTGGTATATTCAATTTAACAAGTGTTTTAGACAAGATTTTGTTTTCCTTTTCTTTTTCTTGCTTAACAAGTAACAAAATTGCTGAGGGTAGGGAGTATAAGCCTCTGTGCCTGAAATTCTAGCATTTGACGCCAGTTTTCATCAGCCACCACACGTATACCTTGGGGCTGGACGGGTGTGTCCACACACAATGCCAACAGAACAACCAAAGATAACAAAAGGAGTACACCACCAATTGTTTCATAGTTCGATGTGAGTGTATCGATATTATGGTCGTTTGTGTCACTCCTGTCAGCAGACGACAAAATATAATTACGTATGCTTCCCGCCATTTCTCGTTCATACAATTATTCAATACCTAGGTATTCGTAAACATCAACACCAAGATGAGATAAAGAAAAACCAGGCCTCAAGGTTATAAAGAAATTCCCAAATCTCAAGAATTTGATTGGTCAGAAACTGTCACAGACTGACACTGACCAATGAAAATGCTGAGATTTGAGAAAGAACGCAGAAAGAAGTTTTATAACCCCGAGACCAGACGTACTTTTATATAACTATATTGCAGCGATATAAGCAACCTTAATGCAACCTTAAAGCAAGGAATGGTGGCATACTGCACAACCTCTGTAGAGCATTGCCCTCTGGGATACCAAGATTTTGGTTGTTGCTCTAGAGTGATAAAATTCATTGTGAAAATTTATCTATAGGAAGAATTGATACTGTTGTGATAAAGAGGTTGTCTCGTTACAGAGGAAAGCTCTGTAGAGGTTGCACTTTTCGTTCTTTCTAGCTCTTTTCGTCAATCCCATTATTACTTTGTTTAGACAAAACAGAACAAAGTAGGTGTATAAACTTACCCATCACATCCTGAAAAAAGATGAAATATTTCGATTAATGAGATTCACAGTAAATAAGTTAATTATAACACTGTTAACATTCAATTTTATTCAAAACTTATGTAGATATAAATTCTTGTTTAAATATAGTCGTTTAAGTAAATACGCAGATATCTTCAATCCGATTTCCTGTTACGCCATGGTACGAAGTATTTCTTTTGGGTGGCTCATTGGAATAGCTTAAAAACTTTAGTCATATTTGTGCTTTTTAAAGGTACTTACTGCCACATAAACTTGATCGTTCTCATTAACTCAGTTTAATATATTTTACCTTATTTTCAGACATTTGTGAATGAAGAATTTCTATAATGAGCTAGAAATCAGTTGAGTTTTCAAAATCTGATAAAGTTTAATTTTATTTTTTGATGTCTTGCGAACAATTCCTATTTAGTTTCACCTTACAAAATTCAATTTCACATGAATGTACTCAAGGAATAGTAGCGTCTGCTGTAACTGATTCTATTGACAAATAAATTGCAAAATAATTGGGGGAGGTTCACAGATCAAATACATATATGATGGGCAGCTTACAGTTTTGTTTTAATAAGCATGTAATTCTCTAACTTTAATGATATTTAAGTTAGTTCTTTCAGTATTTAGATACTTTTTCAACACTTTGATACAAATTCATGTATTTATCAAATTCTGCAACACCTTATAAACTAATAAAGGTCCATTAAGTCTCAAACATGCTTTTTGTTTAATTTTTGCCTTGAATCTGTTTCCAAAAAGGTACATATTGACCATCTAGCTTAGCCATTTTTTTTGCTTCTTTTGCATTATGGCAAAAAGTACAGTTATTGTGAATTAATTTTTCTAAAGGAACGGAATTATATTCATTTCTGAGGCAAATTGTTTCTTTAAGCACTTTGATAGCTTTTATTGTACATGTACCTGTATGATGACTATTATTAAGATATATTTTTGTATTATTAAGATATATTTTTGTATTATTAAGATACATTTTTCATCACTTTGATTCAAATTAATTTATACATTTATCAAATTCTGAATTTTCATCAGTGCTTATAGCGCTTTGATAATTTATTGTACGTGTACAATACAAGTAATTGTTTATTAACAACAGGTACTACGTCATGGCATCAAATATGTATAGTAAATACGCCAAATTCTGATTTAAATTTCCAATGTCTATAATGCTTTCAAACCGACGAGTCGTTAATTGTATAGAATTTTGCGCAAATATGTACAAAAGATTTGAAGATATGTTTATATTTAAATCGATTCACGATATTGTATGAATTAGACCTATTCATGCTAAAAACAAGGACATCGTTAAAATATACGTATTGCAAAATTTCTTATCGACCGTAATTCGATATCCACTCTATATACTCTAATGATGGCGGAATTTTAGAGATTTGACCAGGGTTCAAGTTGAACTTTAAAGGCCCATTATGACTCTATCATTTTTATTCCTCAAATTTTTTTTTTTTATTTTTGTTATCTTGTTACAGTTTAAAAAATAAACTTGTTTGCCAAATCGATGAAGATTTTTTTTTCATTTCTTTAACTCTTTTGGCAATGGCATAATTATGGTAATTATGGTGATTTAGTACTTTATATGGAAGTCAACATACTACATGTACTTTGTTACATTTTGCTACCTTTACAACACATTACTGCACGTTCAGTGTTACTTTCTTCAGTTTTTTTTAAACATCTGACTTCTGTAAACAATATTTAACACATGGTCGACATTTATATAGTACACAAAATATGAATTTCTGAGGCATTGTGTGCCTTTAATGTGTCACTGCACGAGATAGCTGGGTTTATACTTAATTTACTGAATTTCTTCAATGAACTTGTTCAATTTCTATTTTTGGAACTGTCCATTATCTATTTCAGGGATATCTTGATGAATATTAAAAGTGAGTCGGACAACACTAAACAGCATTGTCAGACTGTGCGGATGTGCAGGCAAGCCTGGTTTATTACTGGTGGTCATGGCTATTCACTTTCGGTCCCAGGAGGTCAAGGGTTAGAGCTCTTTTATTTTAGACAAATATAGGTTTGTTGGTTACTTCATACAGTATGTTTCTATGTATTCTTACGTCATTATGGTTTATTTTGAAAGTTTGTTTGATAACTGGTAATATTTAAATTCACTTTATTATTTTGTTGATATTGGGTAATAGCAGAGATCTTGTTATATGGTTATATGGCTAATGTAAATTGTTCACTTGATAATTTAGCACTCTTTAATACATTTTAAAGAAATTCATGAAAATTAACATGAATCTTGAGGCATGTTGCTTTAAAATAGTTTAAAACACAAATTTCAGAACAGCGATGAATAGTTTGCTATTATCGTGCTTATTTCTCTAAAACACAGTTATGTATTGACCAGTTAACTGATATGCGGCCATATTCATTACTAATACATATGCACATCCATTATTTTGCATATGAATTTTTAATGATGTATTGACGTATTTACTTGCAGGTACTGGTATATTGCTACTTTGAAATGACTATGAAGTTACCTCGCACTTAACGAACACAATATTTCAGCTAATAAACCATCTTGCTATTGTTTTACCGCCAAAAAAAATGATGCGCTTAAATGTCTTTTCTTTCTCATATTACAGAAAAATTGAGCCGCGTCATGACAAAACCAACATAGTGCGTTTGCGACCAGCGTGAATCCAGACAAGCCTGCGCATCCGCGCAGTCTGATCAGAACCATGTTGTCCGCTTACAGAATATTATACAAGAAGAGAAACTGATAGCGAACAGCATGGATCCTGATCAGACTGCGCGGATGCACAGGCTGGTGTGGATTCATGCTGGTCGCAAACGCACTATGTTGGCTTTGTCATGGCGCGGCTCAAATGATTTTCTTTATACGTCGTACCAACACAGTACAGGTTCCAGATTTACTGGTAGAGGAAAACCTCAGTTACCCATTCATGCACTATTTAAGGCACCTGAGCAGAACCACTGACATTCCGTAAGCTAACGGGATAACTTCCCCCTCACTTGAAAGAATTAAAGGCAATCGGTGGGATGCGAACGCAAAGCGGTGAGGGGCAAGTAATTTAATGTCAGCGACCTTAACCACTCAGCCAGGGACGCCACAGAAAATGGTATATTTGATCATTTAAGAAACTGAAAGTTTGGTACTAAAAACCCATAATATAAAAAAGTATAACTTTGTTCAAACGAATAAGATATTGGTTTAGAGTGGTTCATATATATGTGTATAATACATACATGTATATGAATACATGTAAAAGGGTCAGTAGATGCTTATTTGTTTGTTTACTGTAGTTTTTCAATATACAAAATATACATGTATATGATGTGTAACAATAATTTAGTATTAGATCTATATCAATTGACATTAATGGAAAAAAATTAATGAAAAGTTTTACGAAGTTTACCGAAGTTTTATTTTTCCGTCAGCGGGACCGTATTATGTTTGATAACGCAATGAACTTTCTTATCAGTTATAAATTCACTTCGTTCCACAGCTTTGCAAGCATTTCCACTAATCGTTTAAATAAACTCGGATCTTAAATCTATGTTCAGAAAGGAATATGAAAAATATAAAACTTCTTAAAATGAAAAAAGAAGTGCTTCGTAATTATCATGATTAAAACAGCTAACAAACTGTATTGTTATAATATATTTGTTTAAGATATGCATTACATTTTACAGTTAAAAAAACTTACCAGCTAAAGTACATGCTACAAGTAGCACTACTAACAACTTCCCAACCATACTTTCGCCTTTTCTCCACCAGGCAATAAAAATTTAACACTGATAAAAGTCCGATGCGTATAAAAAATCGTGAACTTTAATAAACGTGTGTTTGTTTACATGTTATTGCCATAACCACGATGCAACAATAATGGCCGACAGTAGAATACCCGATAGAGTATCGATTATCTGTACAAAAGTATGGGGTAGAATATAGGACATGAAATACCGCTGTATTCAAATGACCTGATTGATCCGCGATTATATCAATTAAAGTACAAAAGTATTTATCCATCCGCTTGTTTGAATACGCTAAATCACTACCGTTCTTAACCTTAGTAACGAAATTGCCAAACTTTGAGATTAATGAAATTGTCCATTATTATAATATAACGAATAAGTTTTTTTTTAATTCTTAAATCAAGCAGACGACAATTTAAAGACTAGGATGAGCATGTTGGGCGAGCTATTTATTGGCATTAAAAATGATACTGAGTCTGCAACTGTCCAGAGGTTTTAATTTTGTTTTATGTATTATGCTTTACGTGTCTTTTAAAGATCTTTGGATACACGTTAAAAGATTTGAAGGAAAATAGAGTTTGTCGTATAAATGCACATTTATTTATATTTGAGATTGAAGTTTTCAAATATTACTGTGTCGAAACTTAATTCGCTGTTTTTATCGGAGATATTCGTAGAATATGGCATTTAAAAGTGGT